CAGGTCTTAAAATATCTAATAATTAAAAACTTCCATAAAACAAAGTTGTACTCTTTCTTAGAGTATCAAATATAAAGTCGACTTGATTTTCTATCAAATGAGTTGAAGGAGGCATATTTTATTCACTTTTTTATTAAATATCTTTGAATTTATAAGACCATCGAAAGTTAGAGTAAAAGTGCATGCTATCCTTCTAGTCATTCATACCGAGTATGGTTTCTACAGGAGGTTGAAAAGGAGTGAAATCAGAAGTCGACATCCTGCCAAATCCGAAATACTCTAGGATAATGCCGCAGGATAATCAATATTACAACCCCACTTAAGTTATCCTTCCTAATCGAAGACGCCATTCAGAATTGTGGCCAATGTTTCTTGATCTTCACATGAGGTAAGGACGACTCGTTCTAAAACCTACTTCTTATGCATTGGAAAGCGGTGCAAGGGTGGCTCAAAACTGCTTTGTTTTTCTTTTAGGGAAAAACGTTTATTTTGCATGATAAAAACATTTGGATGTCAAAAATATGCCGGCTCAAATACCCCAGCCCTCTTTCAGACGTTACCTTTCCTCCCGTCTCCGATGTGCAGTCCTCGAATTTGAAATCACGCAAACCCCACTCACTCATGTCTTTAAATATTTTCGATATTAGTTGATGGCGTTTGTGTGCGTAGTTCGGAAATAAGGCTGTTGAATTCACTATTCAATGAGCCGACTGTAAATGCCAGACCTTACCATCATATGGTCAGCGAAGGGTTAGCTTACGGCGTAAAGCAGATCAGAACCCTTCCTTCTAGTGCGCCACTGCTTTTCATGTAGAACAACAAGACCGTTATAAGTAATGGTTGGGAGAAGGAGGAGGAGGATAGATTTAGGGTTTCTTTGATATCACTTTTCATATGACAATTGTGGGAGGAAAAATAACCTGAAGGAGGTCGACGTTTCATTCCATACTACAACTGTAGTATATTAGTTTTAACTATACCTAAACAAAGGGAGATTCACTACTGTACTCCGATGAATACTGCCCACTATGCAACATTAGGCTGAATATCGATTTAAAGAACCTATTTTTCTTGTGTGTTGGTAGATCCACTGCGTCCAGGTGGGTATTTGAATGTAGGGTTCTTTAATTAGATCATCCGCTTTTTCTGATGATTAGACATCTCAAACATAAAACCCGTAGTGAACGCCATGACATACTGATCTCAAAATGCTAAAAAACGTTTTGAAATCAAAAAATATACATGAGTAGGGTCTCTAAGCCTATTTAAGAGGAAAGCTATTTTCAGCCAAATTCTCAGGCCAGCATGACGACTTCTGACAGGACAGCTTCCCACGTGCATACTTTGTCGGGAAAATTACCTTCATACTGAGCATTTTTCATTGGACGCCGATGTCTGACTGAGTTCCACTTTATTAATTGGACACATTTCAATTCACTTCTTCGGCAAGAGGTTTTACTCTTTTGACATATTGCATATGAAACTAAAGTGACTTTGAAATGTACGTTTTTTAGTTATGGAAATTTAACAGGGGCAACCAAATGCAAATTCTTCCTTTAAAGTAGCGACGCGGACTGCTTGGCATGCAATATTATCTTAACACCAGAGATCTTCATGTGAACTTGTATGCTTGCATGGACTTACTTGATAGAAAATGCCCCGTATACGTCCTGCAACTCTTATGAAAAACTGGAGGCCCAGAAGAGTGGAGAAATCAAAAAGTCTACTATACTTTGCTGATATTGATCTACTTTTGCTTGTCCAGTAGCAAGATCAAGGTAAACGCAGTTTACCGCATAATAAAAGCATTTTTCTTTAATTTTTCTAAAATGTTAATTTACATAGTTGACAAAAATTAGTGAGAAATATAGGCTGATTAGATACAGGGCCTGATCGATCTCATGAAATGTTAGCCGAAATTATAAAACGGGTTTTCGACTTGCATAATCCTATAATATTTCGGACTTGACAGGGTGTCGACTTTTGAATGCACTTTTGAATGACCCCCCGCAGAAACTGTATTCGATAAAAATGTGAATGCTTAATTAACATGCATTTTTTACATCGATTTTCTACGGTCTGATAAATGCAAATCTATTTTATGGAAAACATGCACAAAAATACGATTTCTGTTACTTGCTTGGCAGAAGAACACATCGTCTTCATATGTTATACCCAAAAGCATACATTTGGGTTTTGGAAAGGTTTCCCAATTCCCGAATAATTTTGAGGCTGATAACCGTTGCATTACCGTTTAGCGGTTTCAGTTTACAAGCTATATGCAATCCGCGTATGGAGAATCATATATTCCTCTAAGCCTTTACGAAGATACTATATTGAGTTCATAAAATTTTGCAATGGACACGGACTGTTATACATTTCACGAGGAACATTTATAAACGGAGACGTTTGACGCTGTGTGTATGGACATCGTGCGGCCGTAAAGTCTCATAGCCTGAAGCTTTTTAAACTCCTAAAAATATACTTTCTTTGGGCATAAAATGTAAGGATAATATTGCTTTCAAACAGAAAACTAAAAGAGAGCATATTTTTGTGCATGTTTTCCATAAGATATTTTTAAATTTTTAAGACCATCTCAAATCAATGCGACAAATGCATGCTAATTATGCAGTCATTTTTTACCGAGTACAGTTTCCGCGGGAGGTCAAAAAGAAGTGCATTCAAAATTCGGCCTCCTATCAAGTCCGAAATAATATAAGATTACGCTACATGATAATTAATGCTACAACTCCTGTTTCGGCCAACATTTCATGAGATCGGTCACGCACTTTGCCTGTTAGTTTATTTGACGAAGTTTACAGAGGCAAGCGAAAACATTAAAACACGAAAAGCTGCCATTGAGGACTTGTCTTGAAATTATTCTACTCAGTAATCAGTTTAGTCAATTTAGTATGGGTGCCAGCGCATAGAATACTTATTGTAGCGCAACGCCCAAAGTAAGTTTTGATGAGATGGCTACAACAAAACCGCAAAGAATGTTAAATGTATCAGCCTGACTTGATCAGTAAGCGCAGCGTAGCTGCCTTGACCATTTTTGTAAATTTTCGGCATAGCAGTAGTTTTCGCGAAATTTAACTTCAACAGCCACTTTGTAATGGATTTCGTATGCCAGATGTTTTAAGTTATTCATTAAATCAAACAAGGATTACGTGTCCTTAGATGTATACACAGAAAATGACATGTTTCTTATAATCTAAGTAGTTAGATATGCCTTACTCCTGACGCCACCCATACAGCCACTATAGCACTATGCATTATCAAAGTGCAAAGTTGGATTTATAGCTTGGAAGGTTGTCAGTTGATGCTTAAACTCGGATCAGGCAGCCGGACGAATTGTGATTTTCTGTGTTGAATGGTCGACTGAGGGACTGAGAGTCAGACTACGACGACTCCTTAATGACCCTCCCTCACAGATGTGCAACGTGAGTTGATTTCCCCGTGTGTGTGCAGTCGTGGCGTGTCACCGAAGAGGATACAGGTTGTGCGTATGGCGTGCGTAGACGAGCGTCCTAGCACCGTTAGCCACTGCACTCACTTCCCGCATCAGACCACCGACCGGCTTGGACAGTGGACTAGTGCCTGGGAGTGGGAAGAGAGAGAGAGAGAGCGAGGTCGAGGGTCTCAGCGCATATACCTCACTATAAATAATCTCGCGCGCCTGAAGCTGTTACAGTGCGCTAAAAGCCGTAGCTTGGAAGGCTGCTCACTGACGGCAGAACTGGGGTCTCGCAGTCAGTCCAGTGTGCGTTTGCGTGGAATGGCTGACTGGTGGACTGAGTGTCAAACCCAATGCCTTCTTCTTAAAGTGGCCTTTGTGGAGCTCTCACTCGGTGGCTTTCTAGCCAGGTGTGGCGGCATGCCTGGGGGCGACTCCCACCGAGCCAGCCGTCGCTCTTGTTGTTGGTCGTTAAAATCCTGGTCATGTGGGATCCGGATTGTCCACCCTACGCATTTTTGGGGTAACATCCTGATCAGTGTACGTTGTGGACCAGGGATGTAGTGGTGCACATAGGTACGGGCTTTTGCAGTGCCAACAACCTGCGCCCTCTCCAGCCTCCGGTCTTCCTGACTTTATCATGGCACCAGACTCAGTTCGGGAAGGAGGAGGGAGTGTGGTAGGTGCAACACCAAGTCTACCATCATTAAAAACGAATTCACGCTCAGGTCGCCGTTTCTCCTCTCACCCCGTTGTGTAGCACACGGTTGACTTTGCCGGTCACGACGGCTGTCGTTTAATTGGTTCTCGTGGACAAAAGCCGGGTGATGGAGGCTCATGATTTGGAAAAGGAGACCGGAATCAACATCAGAGCACCGAGAACATAATGAGGGAATTATTATCTCCTGTCATGAATCTACAGTCATACCTGTTGATATCCAGTTTACTGCGAGCTTTTCTGCTTGATAAAACTAAGGCCGCCTGTAGCAGTCTGAGATCGCCAGTGGTGTCGTTTTGTCATTTAGCCTTCCTGTCCGCCTCACGCTCCCTGTCGGTTCGCTGCTGGGACAGCGCGAGACCTGTCTAACTAGCCTCGCGTGACATCGAAACCAGTCAGATTAATCGGCTGCAGACGGACACAAATCAGACAGAGCGGAGGTGTACGTTGAGCTAAGACTAAGACCCTTAACGTCGAACACAGACACACAACACGCCTTGCCTGCGGCAACTGCCTGCCGAGCCTCCTGACATCATTAAAACTTATCTTCCCTGGTCTGTTTTCCATGACTTGTGATTCGGGAATCTTCGTGTTGTTGACCTTCACGCCTTTAAGAGGTTAACGACAAAAGTCTTAGATGACGATGAAGAGAATAGAGACGTGGTCCAGAGATTTATATTTTAACAAAAAGAAAGTTTAATATGAACTTTAAACAGGTTTCCAAATATGTCTTAGACCATAATTTTGTGGCCCACTTTGCGACCTTGACTGGGCTTAGTTAGCGGCGTCCTGGAGGTGGTGGAAGAAGATATTAGTGATATTGAGAAATCAGAGGTAAAGGTTTAACAGACAAAAAGCAGTGAAAGAACCTTTGGTCTTTAGGAATCATAAGTACGAAAGCAATTCGAGTAAAATAACACTAGTAGTCAACTATTTGACCTGGTCTTTGGTAAGGTGGACACAGTAAATGCAACTAGGTTCATTATCTGATGCAGATCGAATAATAAGACTAATTTTCGCGAACTAGCAGTATTATAGATCTTCCTGCGGTAAGTTCATGAAGGTTAGTCAATTTCAGACGACTGTCAATTTTCTCGAGAGTATAGGAGCGGTTACTTAAAAATAAAAATTAATCACATCGTGACACTTTCTAAGATAATTTATTGGAATATATTATGTACGTCACACTCAGCCAAACATTTAGTCCTTTCAAAATTTGATCGCATTACAGAATGAGCATTAAAGAACAAATTCAGTAAATATGCATTAAGACAAGCTTTAGGTAACAAGACAATTTTATGAGAAAGCAGCATTTATAGACAGCTGAACTCTCTGTAACAGTAGTGATTACCTGAACCGCAGCGTTCTAAAAATACAAAAATAGGTTATGTTTTTTAATAACGACTGAAAAAACTATTTTTTAAAATTATAGATGGGGGAAAATCAACTCTAATCAAAACCAAGTTTTGGCATATCAATGTGGTTTAGACATACTCTGTGAGCATCGCGATGACGGTCTCTTTCCTAAAAGGCGGTGTGTAAAGGTACGAAAAGGCCGCGTTTATCATAGATAATGCATTTACAGACTAGTAGTGCGTATATTTTCACGAAAATTACCCTTGGACTTTCGTGCCCAGTAGCATTCCTCATAGTCGCTGTCAGAGTCGGAGGAGGAGTCAGAGGATGAGCAACCGTTCGAGGATGAGGAAGACGATGACGAGGAAGAGGAGGAGGAAGACGAAGACGACGAAGATGAGTACCCGTCACCTGTAGAAGACACAGGTTTTTATTAGTAGGCGTAAGGAGTTATGCGCACGTGACTTAAGTCGTATTCCCGGACCACTTACATTCGGACGGACGATTTCTATCCATCATTCTCTTTTGCTGTGCAGCGCGCGCTGCTAGGGAGTCTGTGGGATAATAAACATTGCTCGTAGAAGGTTCGGCCTTGTTTAACACCTTAGTTATGTAGCGATTTATAGAACGCAAAAGGGCAATATTTAGAAAGTTTTCATATAATATTCTCACATACCATTTCCCTTTTTCTTCCAAGTGCGGGAAATTATAATTTTTTCCTCACCGCAATTCGGGTCACATGCTTTGTTTACTATTAGGTAGGCATATAAAGGCAAAAGATTTGATATAATTTGGGTTCCCAGTAGAAGTTAAAAAATGTCTTCAACAATCACTGAGAACTGACCGACTGGTGCCTTATTCCAGTAGCGTTCAACCATAATTTTTTCTTCACCATCATCGGACTCATCGCATGAATCTGAAAGAAAGGATTTTTAAACGGTCATGCAGGTGCTATTTCCAGACTAGGCTAAATAGTTTCCAAACAAATTAGTACGTACCGGGGCAGACCTGTTTTGGGCAGGGTTTTTCTGAGAAACGAGAAATAGTTTTTAGCTGATGAATCAAATTTTAAATTTGGCAGCAATGCGCTAACTTTCAGCGGCGCGCGTTTATGCTAGCAGTTATTCTTGACAAATATAACTGAAAGGCATATTTCTACAGTTGGTTTTACCTTGACGTCTGTAAGAGGTAGGTCCTGGTTTTTCTATAGTTGAATGATATAATACATTTTACCGGATTTATTTGGTGAACAACTTTTGTGGTTTTTTTAACTTAGACAATGTGACCATCAGACTAAAGTTTTCGCGTCTGGAGTTTTGAAAACATGCCGGCCTCCTTTCGAAGGATCATGCACTACTATGCACAAAAACTGAGTACTAATATTTTAGTGCAGAGAAATTTCCGCAAATATTTTAGAAACCGATTATTTAACCTTCAGTTATTTTCAGAAATCTTGCTCTTACAGCCTGACTTCAACATTCTGAGAGAAAAAACTACAAACTTACGGTAGCGGGGCATCGTTTATGCTCTTTGCGAATCCCAACGGTAGGAAGGAGGCACAAGAAATGCTGTCGATATAGCCTTCATTGCACATATTTATAGCTATCTGGAAGACCAATCCGCTCTGAGTTTAGTCATCCATTTCAAATATCTGAGAGCCAAGCTACTACGCGTGGGTGCGAGGTTTAGCGCTGCCGGTACAGCCTGCTTAGAAAGAGCATAAATCAATCAATTATCTAAAGCCAATCAACAACTAATAGTCATTTTCTATGGTTTGCGCGCCACCGCTGACTAGAACACCATGCTAGTCTGACTGGAAACGGCCTCTTATTGTAAACATTATGCATTATTTCAATGCCCACCGAATTCGCCACCGCTTTCGAAAGAGATCAAAAAGACCAAGATAAACATGAAACTTATTTTAACCTTCTGGGTGATTCCTAAACCTCGCAGTTACATTCGCAGTGTTTTTAAGAAAAGAGGACGTTTCTCAGCTTAAACCTTCGCCGTACGGCAAAGATACGTAGACTATTATGTTTTTAAGCTTCAATTAACCATTTAAAAATAACACTATAATAAAAGACAGTCTGACAAAACCTACAATATAGTGTGCTGGACAGCATTCATTCGCCCACTGCTTCAGCCTTCCATAAAAATCCCTATTCGGTTTTATTATTTTGTAAATTGTATGGAGACCTCATGAATTAACAAGCATAGTTCAAACGCAGATGTTGGCAGTTTGTGAATTTCAAACATACGTGCATACCTCGTTCAGGATGCATTGCAATAGAAGGATCATCATTAAGTGACATTAAAAGAGAAGAATGTGTGCGGTCTGCAGGTGTACATGTATAAAATCAACGTGTTGCTGACAAAGAGTTCGGGGATATCATTGGAACGAAATATTCTGAGCACTGTTTCATTTTCGTTTTTTAAACAAATCAGCAGCTGACCGTTAATTTTTACATCAGCTACGTCAGTGCCACCCGAAAGCTGTGTGGACTGATTAATAGAATAAATATTAGGCAACCTAATGAGCATACTAAAGTTGTGACCTGGATATTTTGATTATAAATGGATTTTATAACAAGTTAGTTAAAGGTGAGACATCTAAAGATCTTAAATATCATGATGTGCAAAGATCAAAGCTTGTGCTGAGATGGGTATAATTCAGCACTTTTGGATAACTTTAGAAGCGTTTTCTAGCATACAAATGAGGCACGTTGGACTTAACTTTATCCGCAATTATATTATTCTGTCTTACAGTTTTGTTGCATGATAATAAAAAAATTTCGAGCAGATAAAAGCTGGCGTGCTGTGTACAGGAGCCTCTTACAGTGTAAAGGAATGGATGCTTTCTGCGATATTTCAGTGTAACTACAACTTAGGACATTGATGCCCACAAAAGGTCTCGGAGTTAATGGTAAAAGTGACCACTCAGGCCGCTCGCTAAGTTAAAAAGTATTCTTGACCCGATACCTACGTAATCCAACTGCCATTGGAGACTTAATTGGCTTGTGAATGAAATAACAACAACGTAATTTAGCACAGTTTAGGATTTTGGAATATGGCAATTAATCTCTATAGGCAAGATAACATGACCGACAAAGACACGATCAGTGGGCGCCCCTCTGCCATTAGTCTCCATATTGCCAGGGCACCAAAAATTTGGAGCACACATGGGAATTGTTAACGGTTCACATAAAGAACGCTAATTTAAATGCCGGTATCATCAACAGCCCTCTGCAACTTTGCAGCATAGACCAAAAAAGATCCAACATTTGTCGACAGCCGACGACAAAGGAAAGATCGGGTTAGTGCTCAACGAGTTGGAGTATAAAAAATACCCTGCATTTGTGCTCAGAGAATATTGTTCATGTGCCCAAAATTTTTCCAGTTTCTATCCGAAACAATTCACGTCTGCGCTCTATTTATTTTGTGCTGTCCTGATAAAGGGATAACATTGATAACAGACGGCAAGAGGGATCGGGACCTGCATGAACACCCGACAACAACTCCATAAGCCGGCATTTCGGTAAGACTTTTGTATGTCGTGTATTACGCTTACTTGATTAAACAGTGCGGCCAAATTTAAAAACTCCACCGCCTCACCAGAAGTCGCTTTTATTCAGACAGACTGAAGAAACCCGGTTTTAAAAAGGGTCGATTTAAAATCTTGTGAACCCTATAGTTCTAAGCGCAGAAGCTATCCACGTTACGTTGCACTCACATTTGGTAAAATATGACCACTTAAGTAGCATGATTTTTCCACATCGATTTTCGAGGATCTAATACATTCACATATTTTTTAGTGGAACGCATGCCCAAAATATGCTTCCTTTTACTTGTTTGGTAAAAAATAATATTGTCTTTGCATGTTATACCTCAAAACGCGTATACTTAGGTTTTGAAAAATTTTCCTAGCTTCCCAGTGATTTTGGGTCAGATCAGCCGTTGCATTAGCGTTTAGTGTTTCCAGTCTACGAGGTACATGTTTTTTGCGTAAGAGGAATTATACGCTCCTCTATGTCTTTAAGAAGACACCATGTTGATTTAATAAAATCTTGCAATTGATGTAGACTATGTCGTTCGTTTATAAGGAGCACTGATAAACGGGCATGTGCGATGCTGTAAATATGGACAATGCACAGTCTTAAAATCCCTATAATTGGAAACTATTTTTAAACCTAAGTATACACGTTTTTGAATCATAAAATGTAAAGGCAACGTGTTTTTCTGCAAATAAAGTAAAAGTAAACATATTTTGTACATGATTTCCATTAAAAGATATTTGACTTTATTAAACCGTCAAAAATCAATGTGAAAAATAAATGCTACTTAAGCGGTCATTTCTTACCGAATGTGGCTTCCATAGGAAGGCAAAAAAGTGCTTTCAAAAAACTGCATCCTTGCAAGTCCGAAATGCTATGGGATTATGTCGTTTAATAAGCAACAGTACAACCCCACCCAAGTAATCCTTCCTAATCGAAAACGCATTTCATAATTTGGCAAACATCTCATCAGATCAGTCTCACACTGTACGTCACTCCCTACCAAGGTGTTAAGCCTAAAAGTAGTATGGTTGAAATAACACTTATCCAAACCAGCTTTTTTAGGTTTCGAAAACGTTCTCAAATGAAGGCTTGTACTTATTGACAGGCGAATTGTTTTAGGATGATATCTCATTGTTTTATGTCATCCGGTCTAATCTTTTCATCAATGCATTTTGAAATATGCTAATTGCGCTCTCCCGAGTCCTCGGTCGCAGTGTGCAATGCTACTGGCGATGCATAATACTAAAACTCCCGTAAGTTCGTAAGGGTCAGTTTGCCTGTTGTACACTAACTGAACACTAAACAAATTTTTTTCCCGTTCATACAAATGCTTAAAGTCCATTAGTAACCAAAACGTGCACAGTTCGGCGCAAACTGTTCATTCATTATATTGGGCCAATGTTCTATGCTAACGACAACCGGAGACAACGCAAGGTATTACTCATGAATCGTTATGATCGAAATTAAGAGAATCACTTAATTAAAACCCGAACGACGTGCATTTATTAATGTGTTGGGAAAAGTCTGGTCCTCATGCAGAATGCGTTTTTGGGTAATTTAATCAACAAAGGAGGGTTAAACAAGCACAAATGTTCTCCCAGTTCTATAAGTAACATTGTTTTCTATTTCAGGGATCCCTATTTCCGTGTCCTACCCCCAACTTTAACTCGAGCACCTTCCCTTTAACTAACTCTTTCAGAGGCAACACTCATCCTAGCACACCTAATCCTAACTAGAAGAGCAAAACGTAGCCCATGAAACCCACACTAACCCTCCTAGTGTTAATCGTGGTCCTTGTTCGGACCCCCATATGCCTAGGCCTATCACCAATCCTAACCTTAACATCAACCCAAATGGAACGCTAACCCCAGTTCCAAACACCTAGGAATATACGGCAAACTCACTTGTAATACGGACGACCCATTCGAGGTGCCTTACACAAATAATATAACATTTCGGAGGAGGCCAGCCTTATCTTATATCAGAATTATTTTTCATTTTACTGACTCTCCTGGAAAATGCCTACACGGTTGTCCTCGCGTTTATAGCATGGAGCATTAATTTAATCGATGACAGCTTATCCACCTATAGTCCCTAACTTGAAAAGTGACTTTTTGACTCGTTCATTTTCAACATAACAGAAATTTGCTCTTCTTCTTAAGTTAGTATTTGTAATTCTTTGCAATATGCTACTTTGATACACAACAACGACACCTCACCAACCCTCGATTTCCAGGCCTATACAAATTTTTCAAAAATAATTATGAAAACTACCTGGCTCAAGCAACCATCTTGCTCTCTTGTACATATGATGGGAGGCTTTTTGGATAGTAGGCGTTCTACTCATTTGCGATTCGGAAACGAAATCAGCACAGTGCTAACAGTCCAAACAATATTTTGACACCGATGTGATTGTTCAATTGTTTATTTATTGTCAGAAGATGGAGCCAGAAAGTGAACAAACCTGAGATAATGGTCCTAGAATATAGTGAATGGTCATTTTTTCGTTTGTTTTGGGAAGAGCTTTAGTACTTTTAGGGAATTTGTACAATTGTGAAAATTGTTCAATTTTTTTAAATGACCTTTCTCTGAAAAAAAGATGAAAAGTGTGGATATTCGTTAATAACATACCGCAATAAAGTGTGCTTAATAAAGTATCTTGTTAGAAAAGGCTATTCCTTTGTACAAGGTCGTCTTCATTGCGGATCGTCATCTTGGTCGTTGATTTATCTCGACAATTATATTTCACATTTAGATGAGCTCACAACCATGACACAGTATCATCATATACATAAAAAAGGGATGAACCGAGAAGTCCATAATTGGGAAAAGACTTCAAGAACCGCCTTATTTTAGAGAATGTAATATGCGCAAGCCACAGAGGCAATCGAAAGAAAATACTTGGAACCGAAACTGTATACGTAAGGAATCTCAGGACACATCTCCGACATCAGAGCTCACAAT